TTGCTCCCTTCCCACAAAGAGATTTCTCAGACAGCCATTGCCACTGCATTGACATTCCTTCCTTTTTTGCAGGTAAAGAAAATATGAACTTTTACCTTCCCGTCATAGTACACTATGCTTCCACTGGGTATCATTGATAGCATTTCAAGAATATTCATTGTCGCTGTTTGTGCTGATCCATCGTTTGTCAGGATAAAAGCATCTTCTGAGACTGCTACCAAGTTGTTAGGTCTAGAAAAAAATAAGGACCTGAGAAGTCGTTCAAATCTCAAATGCGCTTACCTGATAAATTTTTCATCCTCAATTATTTTTACCAAGTCGAGTTGTCGACCTTTACTATTCCAGTCAAGAACTAGTACTGAATGCTTAAAATCCTTAGAATGACTGATGACAAAAAGCCGGACAGCCCCATTGGATGTGACTATGTGAGAAATTCCATGAGGGTGAAATTGCTTCTAAAAAGTGTGGACTTTTAATAATTTAGGTTTTCGATTTATATAATTGTATTTATGCCTTACCCTATCGAAGTCACCATTGATAGGTACTGGTACAGCCTTGAATGTGCCTTTCTGTTTGAAATCATAGAGAAAGATTTTACCCTCGACATCCTGAATGTACTAGTAGCTATAGTCATATCATTTCAAAGAGTAAACATCAGATTGGTAGACAACAAAGAAAAGCTTCAAAAAATAATTTTGAGTTGCAAAAGTTTCCTCAAAGCAAATGGTACGAAAATCGTCAAAGGACTCGACTGATTTCGCAAATTGCACAATTTACCTCTGCTCGAGGTAACATGTAGAATATTCCAGAAGTCACAAATGCAATGCCTTCTTCCTCTATGAGTGCTATGTCCTCGGAACCATGTTCTGAACAACGAACTAATGTAACAGAATGTATCGATAAGGACTGACCAATTCCATCTACTTTACGGCAATGTCCCGGTCGATGGTTGTATACCCTTTTGTTTACGTCCAGTGCAAGCCTAAAACTACAGCTTTGACAGGTCGTATCTTCTTATACTTCTACCAAAACCAAGAAAAAGACGCCTAATTATTACTGCTGCTATACATGGCATACTGCTTTTCGAATCCATTTTGAGTCGGAGTGGCTGGGATACCCAACTTAGCTCCATCTTTGTCGATATACCATATTGAAGCTTACCATTTCAAAACGATTACCCATGCCTTTCTCCAGTTA